TATTTTCAAACTTTGTAAGGTCATTGTTCCTAAAGCGAATGACATAAAGTTAAACTTACCTAAGTCAAATTCAAAATGGCTCTGAAAAATAATTCGACTTGGACTAAATTTGATTGTTAATTAATGGAAAATTTGGCATGTAAAATAAGTTCATCCTACACAGTAGAAATTATTTGACCTTGGAAAGTTTGACTGTATGTGCAATTCATGTCCATGGATCACTTAATTTACTACTTAGTTCACCTGATATTGAGGCCTGTGATGTGCCTTCTCTATCCAAGTGGCCTTCACCTTACCAAGTACCTGTATTACCACATGATGTGGAAGGTCTCTTGAAACAGGAGGACAAGTCAGTGTTGTCAAGACGGTATTATCGTAAGATTATACAAAGTTTATTTGAAGACATGATACAATACACTCTGTAAGTATTTAACCTGATTATTATGTTTGTAGTACTACTTAAATTTGTACTACTGTACTAATTTTTTGCAGTTTCCACTTTCCAGACCTGCTTCTGATTACCGACTTTCTCATTGATTCAATTTATTAGGTGCAAACCAGATACAGTACTATAAAAAGGTAATAAGGTGTGCATTGCTATAATATGCACGCATTGTCAAGAGGGTTTATACTGCTAAAGCTTAAAAACACTTTAATTCGTCTATTTTAACACTATTCTTTCCAGGTTTTTTTACTGTTTGTTAATCTTAATACAGTAATTTTTTCCCCATGCATCTTTTTTTTAGATATCCAACAACAGCTCAGTATACTGAGGTAGCCAGAGCACTAGTGACCAAGTTTAAAATCTTAAAAGATAAATCTGGAAATTCAACAGGACATGTAAGCCCATGTTAATAATTTTACATACTGAAAAGACACATTACAGCAAAAAAAAAAAAAAAAAAATTCTGGGGTGATTTTTAGCTCCAATCAGGAGCTCTAGAAACACTCGGCTAATTGATTAATAGATCTTTTTTGTATGGGCAGTCAGTAGGGCCAATACTCTAATGACTCTATTATAAGTGCCTTCATCGGAGCTTTCGAGATTACGAGAAATAGTTTTCCTTATTACTTTCCCACTCTTCAGCTAGTGAGACCCAAGACTCTATGTGAGGAGTTAAACACACAATTTTGTTGTTGCAGATTATTGTACATTGTACTTGGATATTATTATGTCTGTTTTACTGAAAAATATGTTTTTAGATCACTGAAGTCCAATATACAATACATTATTCTTATAATAGGATACATGGAGAGAATCACTGAAAAATAAGTTTAAACATGAAAGGGCACCGCTGATCCACAATGAAGATGTTCTGAAAAGGAAAAAAATATTTGGCCACAGTAAAAAAGCAGCTGTTAAAGATGATGAAGAACGCACTGTAAAGTATGTCAAGCTTGATGTCATTAAGGTATTTAGACTTTGTGTATCAGAACATACAGTACATTGTAATAATGCTAAGTACCATAGCTACTGCCATTTAGTTTAATTAATAATTGTATGCTGTCATCCAAACCAAAATAAGAGTTAGTCAGACACAGATGAAATAACATGCAAAAGGGCATTCTTGTACTCGCATATAACTCTTCCAATGACTCTTTATTGTAGTCTCACAATGGATATGTTGGTTCAAATCCTTTGATTCTGTTCACAGATCACTGCAATCAGGTAATTAGGCTTTTTGGGAAAGCACATCCAGTTGGAACGAAATGTAGTTTAAGGTATAAAATTACATTGATAATGTAAAATATGGTATAAGGCTTACTTCATCCCAATCATCTTATTTTCAGGTAAAATCATATATTGGCACAAATACAGTACAGTAGTGTACCTTTAAAGTGGCACTGTCCTTTTAGAAAATTGGAAAATCATAAAAAATTGAATTAAAAATTACTGTATGTTGATCATTTGAAAGTACACATAAAGTAATCACCTTTAGAATGAAACATACAGTACCGGTATATCGAAAACCCCAATTGTTATTATAATATAACAATATTATACAATAAACAATATAATTGAATATTGAGTTTTAGAATGTGTGTTTTCATGGTAAATGTTTTTCCCAATTGTTGAAGTGACAGTGCATCTTTGACAATTTGAATTTTTAAAATAATATTTTCCCTATTTGGCATCTTAGGAAAGTACGTCAGGAGAAGACCAAGCCAGCATAAGCAAGCATGTAACGGATTTAATGGACCTTTCAAAGAAGCGAAACCCAGACCAAAATATTCTCAATGATAAGCTAGAACGAACAAAGAAATATCGTTTGAAATATATTGCGGAACACTCAGTAAAAGATGCGTTGGAGAAATTTCCGTTTCTCCAACTAGAAAATGAGGTAATTATTAAATAACCAAATTTATGTGCAACATTCAATTATGTAGCATGTCAATTGTGATCAAGACAAATAATTCCATAAAAAGGAATGTTAGTTGGTCTATAGCTATTGAGAATATAATGCTAGGGGATTACAATTTTCCCATCTACTATTAAAGCTTTGTTCCACTTGAAAAGAATCAATTGCAATGGAACTGACATTATTCATGAAGGAAATGCTTTTCCAGAACTCTTGTATTCTTCCTCACGGACATACCAGTACAATTTTCTTATGTATATAATACCTACTGTATATAGGCCTATTTCGGTTGCTTTGCAGTTTCACACCAGAACACCTCCATTCCGCCATCACCGACATTTTTTTAGTACTGTATGTCATGCCTAGTTGGCTCCAGTATGTGTGAGATTAATAGATTTCACACCACAACCTCACATTCACTCCAGCACCAGAATTTCCCTAGCATATAGTTACCTCATTTCGGAAATGAATTCCAGATATAGAATGCAAATTCTATTTTTTGAGCTTTCCTAATTTTTAAAGTTTTTATTGTATTACACAGTCTTGTCTTGGAAAAAGTTGAATCAGTTTGATTTTCGACAAACCTGCATGCAACAATGTTTATTAGCAAATACGTTGCCATGTTTGTCATCATCGATTCCCACTTGAAATACAAATATTGTTGTGTTGATATGTTATGTCTGCATCATTTCATCCTGTTGGAAGTAAAGTTACTGGTTCTCTTTCTGGTTTACAATTTCACCTAATGTAGATTATTAAAGAAGTGGAAAGGTGCTATGGTAGTCGCAACATCCACTCCCATTTAAGAGCTACAATGAGTACTTTCATTGATAACATCATTCAATTGATGAACTATTGGATGCATACAGAAGAGAGATTGCTGACTGCACTGAAGAAAAGGAGAAAAAAGGTAAACAAAGGATTTTTGAAGTACAATCAGATTGAATTTTTTTTTTTTTTTGTATTTACAGTAAAGTATTTGTTTATTCCTTTTTCCTGTGTATGCTATTCTTCATGTCCCATTATATAAGACACTACCGTATAATAAGATGGACGGGACGCCTTGTGAAAGTTAATGTAGATCGGTATACTCTGAGTATTCGTTGGCCAATTGTTACCGATTAGTTAGACAAACGCTATGTATACCTAATGCATTCGCTATAGCAAAGTTTCCGATGGATTGGACGTATTAGGACGAACAAACGTAAACCCAATGTGCAACAGGAATGCTCACCGTATACATAGTGTATTTAGCAGAACTTTGTGATATGCTAAAAATTTTGAACATGTTCAAAATTTTAAATCGACCCCAGCGTACATCTGCATACCCCTACGAACAACTAACGAATACAACGTATGTCAAACATTATTACGAACGTGTCACGAATGAATGTCAAGTTGCGGAAACGTAAACCAACATTTTGATAAAAGTCGGCATACATTGGCTCTATTCGCTACAGTGTGACGGGGCTTGAGTGATATGTGTGGTGTTGATTTTCTTTCTTGTCTCTGACGCTTGATGCTAATGTAAAGTGTCATTGTGAGTTAGAATGGTTACATTTGAAAATCCGATCACATTTTTACCATGTCTTAGGAATTTTATTTTTCCGATGGTGATTTAACATACTCTTTACATTGCCAAAAACTCCACTCAAAATGTTTTCAGACTCTTCTTGTTGACCTTGTTGGGTTGGCATGTCTACAAATCCCTCCCCAGAACTTGCATATTCTGCTTAATTGGTCACTATCTGATTCACTCTTAATATTGGGAAGAACCAAGTTATTGTATAGTGCAACCCCTGGTGTTATGATTATAAATTAAGGAAAGGAATACACAGAGATAAGACTAACATTGAAGCATATATTTTTGGTTTTATATATTTTTAATTTTATATTTTTTTAATTCCCAAATATTGTGTTAATTTACCTATGGTTTACCTTTGCATTGTATACTGACAATCACAGCATGCTGCCTGCTCATTCCTGTTTTGCTTGGGGAAGATTCGGATTATATGTACTGTATAGATAAGGTAACTACTGTACATAAGGCCAAGTAAAATTAATTAATAGTTGATCTTCCAAGTTTTCTAAAAAAAAATTTTAAATTTTCAATGCCAGATCCAGTATTATAAGTAAATGTTTGCAGTATTATATGTGAATGTTTATTGTTAAGATATTTTTAAGTACAATAATGTAATCATGCACTATTTAAAAACATTGGCTGATTAAGGAAATATCAATTAATTATATTTACCTTCAATTTCTACATATACTGTAGCTGTGTTATATTGTAAAATACCTCTCTCTCTCTGATAAATTGTGATAACAAGGGCAAAACACACTGGAAACTTGATGGTAGGCTATCACCACATAATTATATTTTATTTAAGTAATTATATTCATTGTATGTTTTGTTTCAGGATCCTGTGTCACTGACACCTTGTCTGGTATTACATGGAAATATATTCCATACGGAAGATTGTGTAGTAATGCTAGATGGCATTAGAGTTTGTAGACCTGCCAATGTTGCCATGGGAATGGCCATCATGTTTTGTTGCTTTTATATTTATGGCGTTGAATATCCCAAGGCAGCAAAAAATAGTCTCATTTACTTTCAACAGTATATTGCTGCATTGGGCAGAGATTCGCAAACACCTGTAAAGGTACAGAGGTTTGTGAATAGCATTCATACTGCCTGATTTATTTACATCCATCCATATACACCATAGTTTATGAAGGACTAGGCCTATATTACTAGTACACTAGGCTACTGTACTACTGTAATTTTTGATTTTATAATAATATTTTGTTTTGTTCAGATGTACATTCACCATCGCTCAGAAGTTGAGAAAATATATTTTTGGTCGAAAATCCTTTTTACATTTAGTTTTAAATTCAGACACACACCCAACAGGTAGGGTCAATAACACTGAACAGGGTGATTTTATAAATAAAAACAAAATAGAGGAATTAATACACTGAACTTAATTTTCAACAACTTCCATTACACATAGATAAAAACTATGTTTTTCGAAACATTTTTTTCAAAAACATTGAATTATAAAAGTCCAATTGAAATGTGCATTCCAGATTTTTTTTAAATTAAAGCATGGACATATAATTAAAGCTCTTAAAATTCTAAAAAGATTTTTTTTTACAAAATAGGCCTGTTTTATATAGAACTATTATTATTTACTACATTTACTCATAATACAAACTGAAATATAATTAATATAGTATAAAGTACTTTATATTTTAAACAACATAATTTAGTAATTTGGTCACTTCACAGAGAAGCAGGATGTAATCTTAGTAACATTTATTTCTCTGTTCATATTGTAAGCCTACAATAGCTATCTGTATGAAAGAAGTTTGTCATGTATATTTATACATTTATATAATTTTATATTTGTTTTTAGCAGTTTCTGTTTTAGCAATTTTGTATATTCTCTGAAAAACGATTTAGAAGTCAAATCTGATGTATATCAATATTCTTTCTACTGATGCAAAAAAAAAAAAAAAATGGAAAAAAGAAGAAACTGGAGCATTTGTTTTTTTTTTTCTTGTTATAAATACTGTTAATAAAACTAGTAATTATTCATCATGTTATCTATTCCAAAAACTTATTTTCTACATACTTTTTTATGCTTCACCATTGGCATTCATAAAGAAAACTATTGATTGTGAATTAAAATCTATTTTTGTTCATTTTGGTTCATTGAAAATAAAACAAATAACTTCCTACTTAATTTCATCAATTGAATGGTATGATTATTATAAAATTAATTGCCTTACTTGGGATACAGTCTAGTATTGTACATCCTTAAGTTAATCATCACTGCTTTGTATTCTTTTTGTGGTTATGTTGAGTCTACCCTGGTAAATAAGTTTGTAGTTTTTGAAGAGAAATAGTACACCTAAATCAATCATGGTACATTCCTTTCTTGCAGGTTGATCAAGATGACCAGTCCTCGTAAACGGTAAGTACTGTAGTCATTATTTTTTTTTCTTGGGAGTAATTTTGTTTCTGTTTACTATCTGCAATTCAATTTTAATTTTATTTATTTTTTGGTAATTGCTTAGATAATTGCATATAATTATCAACCTAATACCATTTAGACGTATTTGACTTGTAGCAATATCCAAAATAATTAATACAGAATACTGTAATTCAACAATACACTTCAATAGAAATAAATTTAAAAAGAAAATATTGATTGTGGTGTCCCTAATTCACCATAATATTTATATATATTCCTTCTACATTAGGAAAAATATTGTCATAACTGAAGAAAATTTTGAAATCCTTAAGTCTTTCTGGACAAGAGGTATGACAGGATATGGAGACGAAGCAAAGAAGAAGCTCCTACATCAAGCTGTTGAAGAAACAGGCTTGCAAGAGGTACAAGTTAAAGTATGTATATTTAAAATTTAAATACATTAATTTTATATTAATTATTGATGAACATAGTAAGGGTTTAATTTTATTTATTTTTTGGTAATTGCACATGGTATTTTAGATTCTGATATAATTAACCATTTCAGCATTCTATACAAATGTAAATCAAAATTTGACTGCCTGATTAAAGAAATGCTCTGGATTAAGGAATTAAAACCATCTCTTAACAAACAAACAGACTCTATTAAAGCAAAATTGTTTATCTAGGCATAGAGCAAAGAAACAGTTTCTGTTTCTTTGCTCTATGATCTAGGAGAACAACTTACATGGAGCTTATCAGTATCTTATTCTTTATTTGGAAGCTACACTTTTACAACAGTAGCACACGTAGAAAACGGTGCGTCCAAGAAAAATATAAGAAAACAAACAAAATCAAAACATGACAAATCAAAAGTAAAAGTAAATGAGCTTAACAAAAAGTAAAAATCAAAGTCTTAATTACCCCTCCCTTCCCTTTTCCAACCCCGAAATCGAAGTTACCCCCTCCCTTCCCTTTTCCAATCCCGAAATCGAAGTCACCCCCTCCCTTCCCTTTCCAATCAAGAATAATAATTTAAAAAAAAAAACAGAATTAAAAAAAAAAAAAAAAAAACAAAAAAAAAAACCCTAATAATAATAATAATAAAATAACATACCCATATACATACATAAACATACATACGCGCAAACTGTAAATATATATACATATATACACATGTAAGCAGCGAAAGTAAATAAAATACAAAAGAATACATCATAAGAGACAGCTGTACTTCTGAAAGCATGTTCTTTTCTTCTAAGAATTCAGAGACTGTGTATAATACGATTCTGTTGAAAATTTTTGAAACGCAGGAAGTTAGAGAAATCCCTCTATAATTGTTTAAGTCCTTTCGATCGCCCTTTTTATAAATTGGGACAACAATGCTTCGGTTCCATTCAGCTCTAATTTTTTCAAGACTTACAATTCTTTTAAATAATGAAAATATTGAATAATTCAGATATTTACCACCATTTTTTAGGAGCTCGTTCGAAATATTATCTAAGCCTGGGGATTTGTTATTTTTGGATTGAAGAATAGCAGTTTCGACCAGATTTAATGTAAGTTCAATATCAACAATGGAGTTAGTGTTATCATCAGAAGCAAAATTTTTATCTTTTTTAAGTTCATTAACAAAATTTGAAGTTTCGATAGAATGTTTATTGTGTTCATCATTCGTATTTCTGTTCATTTTACCTAATGTTCGCCAATAATTTAGAACAGTCTGGTTCATTTCCTCTCTATCGCAAGTAATTTCATTTGTGCCCGGCACTTTTAAGCACTGTATTTGCTCATTTTTTCGCTCGCCCCCCCCTTTAATTCCTTCCAAAAGTCACGGCAATTACGACCACCTTTGTTGGCAATATCAACTGAGCTTTTAACCTGCATTTCGGTCATTTTATTTCTAACTAATATTTTTACACAATTTCTCTTATCTTGATAATTTTTCCATAAGTTATCCCCCTCACTAATGCTGCTACCTTATCCTTCACCCACTTTCTATGTAAACGGGCTGCTTCCCTTCTCTGTTTGATGGCATTGTCAACTTCATCATCAAACCATGGATTACATTTATTACCATGTTTTTGTTTCCTAACGCCTATCCCTTCAGTTGCAGCTTTAATTAAATTGCTTTTCCATGAATCCCAAAGCGTATTTACATCCGAAAAAGATTTGGCATTCCAATTTGTGAACCGTTCTTTAACTTTTTCCTGAAATGGTTTATAATCCTGATCCTGTTTGATGGACCAACATAGTTTAGTACTTTTCCCATAATCGGCACGTTTACTACTAAAAGCAATAGACAAATTCAATAACAATACGTCATGGTCGCTGCCCAGACCCATATATCTATTTTCATCAACTATGAATCCTTTTACAGACTCAAGTAAATTGTCAGAACAGAGCATATAATCAATGGTACTTTGCAAGTTGTTTCTATACCAAGTAAATTTCCCTACACAATGCCGAGTACAATTTAAGATGTTCAAGTTTGCGTCATTCCGAAAATTCAGGAGACGCTCTCCATTAGAGTTTAGTATCGGATCTCCGTACGAGATTTCCCCACCAATTCTGGCATTCATATCAGACATTAAAATCTGAGGACCATTTTCTCTATGTTCATTTTCAATACAAATTATATCGGCGAGTAACTGGTTATACAATTCGGTACATGAATCATTATCAACACCCTCCACAGGGAAATATGCAACAGCTATATACCTGTCTCTTATACACATCTAGATGTGTATAAGAGACAGATACACATGTAAGCAGCGAAAGTAAATAAAATACAAAA